TGCTTTACCTTTATTCTTGGAGAACTTATTGTGCCAAGTTTATACTGGTTTCAGAGAGTGAGATCGATAGCAATTCTTTCCTTATTTCCTAAAATGGTTGTATAACATAGAGTTTATCTCCTTTGGTATGATTCATAAAGCCGTCTGGGTCTCCTGTCTTAGGGTAAATTAAAGGCAGGGTGATTACCCATGGCTACCAATTCATGTTCTCGTGTGGCTAGTGTTTTCTTGAAATACCTTGATCATTAATGGTTTTCAAAAAATCTCATCTATTTCATCTGTCTTGAAATAATCTGCATAAAGTTTGCCATATTATTCTCTTATATCCCATTTCTATCGGTGGATCTGCTCCATTCTTTTTGCTAATGGTGTATATTCATGTGCTTCCTGTGGAGGTTTGCTGATTTCACTAGGCTGTTTAGAGATCTCATCCTAATCATAAAAGTGAAGAAAATAGAAACTCAAGGTCTCAGTGGAAAAGATGACACTCGAGCTGGAAATCAAGCCAGATCTCCTGATACCTAGCCAGTGGACTCCCCGGATGGCTGTCTTGCCCTCATCTGAGATCCTAATTCAACTGAATTCATTCTGGGGCAAAAGAAGTCTTCTCATGACTACATTTGGGCAGAACACGCCCCGTGTGCTAGCGAGGGACAAGCATGGTACCCACGGACCCATCGCCACTAGGGCGTTTCATGAAGGGTGATCTGAAGTCTTGTTCCCAGTTTCTCAAGGACAAAACCACAAACCAGGTAACATACCACCACAATTTGGTAATAGGTGAAATTCACAAGAGAAACCACAAGATTGAGATGTAAATGTCATGCCCAACACAGTGTTCACAACATTTCCTTCTGTTTAAAAGGAAGATATGCTCCCGACTTTCCTAGATGTATATTTTAAGCGATGAATCTTGCTCAGTTTCAGATATAAATTTCACTCAGTGGACCCCATTTTTCCTTAAAACACTCACATGTAAGGGCAGATGTGATGGATTCACAGATAAGGTGGTGAAATGTTTCTTTTGCAATGACAAGGAAAAGCAAGTAAGTAAGAAAAAATGCTTCTGAATTCTTTCAGCAATTTGAAACCCTTTCCAGCAGGGGGAAAAATTATCTATTAAAACTCTTATAAGTAATTCCCACTGTGGGTAAGTGACAGGGCTATTTATTAAGTCTAAATGGAAAATACCCATAAGCTTCTTTCTCCCCCTTAGCTACTACATCCTACTTGACAATATCTTTATAAACACAGATGGCATCTGACCCCTAGATCTTAACATGCTACTTTAACTCTGAAAACAGAAATCTTCAGAACAGGGACTGACCAAAGATAGTCCTCATTTGCCATTCGTTGGTTTACTCAACATGCCCCCAAATTGATTTTATTCCATTCTCATGCAAATGGCACACCACTTGGTCTGTGTTCCTACAGTAGAGATTGCTGGCCGTCTATCCAGCACCCATTTTGTTCTTACATAGAATCAGAACTCTCTTTTCACACTAGGGACTCAACTAAAACTGTATGACAATGTCCTATACACCTGAGTATGTGGAGTAGACCGCCACATTCATTTATTTATTTATTTATTTATTTATTTGACAGAGAGAGATCACAAGTAGGCTGAGAGGCAGGCAGAGAAAGAGGGAGAAGCAGGCTCCCTGCTGAGCAGAGAGCCCGATGTGGGGCTCAATCCCAGGACCCCAAGATCATGACCTGAGTCGAAGGCAGAGGCTTAACCCCCTGAACCACCCAGGCGCCCCCAGGAGACCTCTAAATGGTGTGCTTTCTTCCCCTCCTTAATTCAGTTTGTTTTCTGCTTTGAATATTGTGAGAGCTGGTGCTCCAGCAGCCACTTTGGCATGTAAGGGGAATTCTAAAGATGGCAGAGCTGGGTTTTTTTATGTCTGTGGAGCCACTGTATGAGCTTCTACCAGAATAGCAGGCAAATGTGCATTGCCCATCAAGAACTGTTGATTTGCTCTGATATACCCTTTGTTCACGGTTCCCCCTCTGTCCACCCAGGAGGTAACTATTCTTTGAAGCTGGTTCCTGCACCCTGAGTTAGGAGGAACCACTGCATGGCCCCTGAGCAGGCAGGGCTTCTTGCCTGCAGGTCCCACCTTGCCATCCCCACCTATCTGCTCGCTTCTCAAGGACACAGACCGGGGGTCTTTTCCACCCTCATGTTTACCGTACCAACCGCCTACTTATGTACACAGAATGGGCTCAACAGTATGGATGAAAAGGATGAACATGTGTGTGCGTGTGTGCGTGTGAGGGCATTACTCGAGGATGTGAAACTGGGTGGTAAGGCCACCAGCGTACCACACCAAAATCATCACAGACCTGAACTACTCCAACACACCACAGCAAAGTCAAAGACGATAACATGCCCAAACCAGTCTGAACATTTTAAATGTCTATATCCCACATTTTGGGGGGGGGTGTGGAAATTTGTGATTAAGCTCAAGCATTCACGTCACACTCATGAACACCAAACAGCGATGGAGGGTGTGGAGGGGGTATATTCCGTGAAAGGGTGTGGAGAGGTCGTGTTGGGCTATTTCTCAGTTCAACATTCAACTTTCACTGAACCAAGCCAACTATAACCTTAAGTCCTCCACTGTTTACTGTTCTAAAAATACACTTCTTGTTTGCTTTCTCCAGACCTGCTTTTGCGTGTGGGCTCTCATACATCCTCTGTTTAAATATCCGGGTAAAGATAAACCTATAATAAGGCTGGGTTCCTGAGACAAGAATAATCATGATGATCTCGGCCTTATGAAGGACTCGACTCCGAGCACTTTCAGAAGAAGGCCGTTTGTTTAAAAGTCTCCATTGTGTGGCCATAAGCCCAAAGGTCTTAAGACAAATGTTTAACTCCACAGGCATAAAACAACTGCATGACTTAAAAATGCAATGACATTTTCAACACTAACATAAGATTTGACCTTTCCTGTCCAGTCTTCTGGGGTATGGTGCTTTCACATACTGAGTTTCTTTTTTCTTCCTGTTTATTCTTCAAAGGCTTACCTGAAAGTACAACCTCGCGGACTACAGCGGCTCAAGGGCGGGAAAGAATCCCTACGAGCAGAACATCACAGTCGGAAGCTCAATCAAATTATAACCTTTTCAAGCTTTAAAAGATCTTGAGTAGGTATATTGCCTCCCTAGCTCGGTTAAACGGGATCCCTAACGATGCCAGAAAATACACAAGTTTATTCCAAGAATCAGGTTCAATCAAAGCACCTCTCATTCATTCACCGCAGTGAAAACACGTTCCTGGGTCACAGATTTTTATGGATGGATTCGACGACAATCATCACGAAGGAGTACATCCCCCATTTTGACAGTGAGACTGTTAGAATTGGGGGGGGGGTCCTAAACCCTAAACTGTAAGAAATCCTAAACCCTAAACCTTAAGAAAGCATAATTCATGGGATTCATGTGGATCAAAATCATTCAGCAAAAGTCTCTGTGATTGGCTGAATCCTGACAAGTTAAAAAGATCCCCAGTATTGAATGATATCAGGAAAGACAGATTTCGGTGAAATCCTGCGTTAGTAAAGTAATGTGCTGGCAAAGTGGCTCCCTTTGGCCACAAGCTACTATCACTCAAAAATTTAACTGGATAAGGTCAAATTTTAAAATGAAATTAACGCAGCCCTCCATGGCGATTTGAGAAAAACGTTATTCAGAGAAGGTTGAGAAGTATCTCGTGGCTCAGAGATGTCCGGCTCGAAACTGTTTTCCGTGGTGGTCAAAAGGACTTGACACATTTCGCTCTCAGGTGCAGAATGTGAAGTGTCTACGGCCAATGTCAAGTGCCACATCACGGCACTTTATCTCTAAAAATGCTAAAAAGTCATTCTGAGAATGGCAAAATTGTTAGAAAATTTTAAAGCATTTAAAAGTTAATGTTTATTTACTACATATGGTACTAATTTTGTGGGTACAATTTGAAGTAACTAGATAGTTCACATCACTGTTCTCTTTTTTTTTAAATTATGATGTTAGTCGTCATACATCATTGGTTTTGAAACTAGAATATGCCTCAGAATACCAGAAGGCATTAAGGAAACTGAGAAATGAAGAAAAAATAAAACACATCCACATTCTTTTTCTTTCCATCCCCGCCTATATTTAAAATCTATGAAAATCTGACATAACTTTGATACACAACATAAAGTACCCGGTTCAACTGAATTAATTTTGCTAAAGCATTTGCTAAAAAGCTCTGAATTCCAATTTTTTAAAGAAATATCTTTTGTGTGAAAGAAGTGGCAATTTTTATATGTCTGCCCACACAGTGAAGTTTATTCCCGACAAAGTTTCCCTCCCCCCTCCCCAGCCCGGGACAGGGTAGATGGGGGGCCTCTGAGAAACAGGGAAGGGCCCTGGCCCCCCAGACCATGCTGTGTCTGGCTCCCCCAGCCCGGCTGAGTCCACTGCGCCTCCCTGCCCAGCCCTCGGGAGAGGGGAGGGGGCGCCAGCTCCTGGGTGGTTCCAAAGTGGAGCGTGAAAATAGAGTATTACAGAAAAGTGTGGTTAAACTCTTGATCTCTTATCTAGTGATGAAAGAGGACAGAAACAGAAAACAGTGTGTCATACTATTTCCTAAAGAAACCAGTTTGGAAAGTTACTAGCCTTGGCCACCTCAGTTTCCTTAAAAGTACAGTGGAATGTTCGGGAATGGCCAGCCTTTGACAGCTCCAAATGTCTCAGGTTGGACTCTGGGTTCACTTGCACCCGTGTCACGAAGGATCTGTGCCCCCCAACCCCAGTTGTCAGAGGGATTAGCCACGTGGGAGGAACTTGCCAAAAGTCTACAGAAACAATCTTCCAGTTTGCGGGTTATGAGTTAACCAACAGCTTCAAAGAGGAAAGGAAGAGAGAAGGGGTCTGACCACATGGAGCCTGACTCCCAGCTCCTCCCAGGTGATAAATTGGAATAAAATACAAGGTATTATTCCTCTTAGAAACGTCCCCTTAGGTCCTTAGACAGGCAGGTGAGGGGGCTGGTAAGAGCCAGTGGGGGCAGCCGCGCTAGATGGTGAAGATTTCGGTAGCTCAGTAGCAAAATTAATAAATACCTGAAAGAAATGATGAAAATCATTGTGAACCTGTGAGGACACCAGACCTTCTCTTCTCAACTGTTGTACAAAGGGACATCTCCTCCAAGTCCTACCCAACTTTTCCAAAAAAACAAACAAACAAACAAACAAAACCCACAAAGCTTTCATTCATACCACCCGCTTGGAAACCTCCATAAACAGGAATATCCTTTGAGGACGCAGCTCGATGTAGGGATGGTCACTAAGCCACCTGGAAATCAGGATGCCTTGAGCATATGGCTTAAGTATGAAGGTGGCATTTAATTCTACCTTCTGGCACTCAGTTCACTTTGCTTTCCAAAGTCAGCAATGGCTCAGCTATGGTGCAGTCCCCTTAGACATTTTGGGGTGGGGGGGTGAGCCAAATGAAGAAGGGAAGGTTAATGGGGCATGGCTTGCCCAGTGAATGCCCAGTGTAAGTGTGAACAAATGGGAACCCTACCGACTACGTACCTTGAGTGGACAGTAGAGAGGAAACAGACCTCCTCACTCTCACTGTCTTATTCAGTAAAGCCAGTGATTAATTTAAGGAAAAGACAACCTCAAGAAGTCCCTGGCTCATTTTAAAATTGGCTGGGGGAGGCCTCGAGCCCACACTGAAATGCAGTCAGCCAAAGCATTCCCAGTACCATACCTGTTCCAAAGTGGTTGGGTTGATGGAGTAGCGTTTGATATGCAGCAAGGTCTTGTTGTTCTCTAGAACGTGGAACAGGTCTGCTAAGCATTCCCACTGTTTCGGAACATGGTATTCCAACAAATTCAGGCGCTGCCCCTAAAAGCCAAAAACAAATTGTAAATCGTATCACATGATGAGCAATCAGTAAGATTGACCACTCCGCACTTAAGTGATAAATAAATTATCATTTCTTCAAACTACACGTCTCCATGGCAGTGGGAGGGTGGGTCGGGTCTGAGGGTCTCCGGTGCACACGTGGAGATGATGGCACAGCTGGTACGTGGTCCTCCTCATGCCTGCGTGGCTCGGTCACCCCTCATACACCCCCACCCTGCCACAGCATGCGGAAGCCCTTCCTGGGGGTAAGAAGGTACCTCGCCTTACTGAGAAAGGAGGAATTTATGGTGAAGGCATGATCGCACCTGACCCTCACTCGGGCTTTGAGCAGAGCTCCCTGCTGTCCTCACTGTGAGCTAGCAAGCAGCTCTTGGTAAGAGAGGAAATCTTCCGACCCTCTTTTCACATGTGCAAGGGGACTCACAGCAGGGGTGTTACTGGAAGTCTGGAAGAGACCCTGAGCATGAATGCCTGGCCTCGTACAGCATGCTTCTTACCAGGGGAGTTTTACTCCGTGGCTCTCATTGGAATACACAGGTGATAGCTACTTTATAGGTGAGACCCTATGTATGACCCGCTGGAATCGCATAGTTATCCGAGATCCTGTGGATAGGCAGTGCTTCTAAAATGTTAACGTGCGTAGGTGTTGCCTGGTCCCCTTCTTAAAGGCAAGTTTGGATGCAGGAGGTTGGGGCCTGAGATCCTGTAGGTCGAAACAGCACCCTGGGGAAGGAGACGCTGCTAGTCCAGGCATCACACTTTGCATCTAGTAGAGGATTAGGGACCCAAGCGCAGGGCACTCGTAAAATAATGCTGAAATCAGCAAGTCTAGAAGCCCAACAGCCAACACCTGGAAGGCATTACCTTTTGCAATCTTCCTTCCTGAACAAAACAAGCCACGCAAGGGGGTTGTACTCATGGGTTGTGGGGGTACGTAACCACGGTCCCCTCGGGGACATCCGACAAAGTGGTCAGACAGGCATGGTGTCCCTCACAGTGGCCAAGCGGTATCCACTGGCCATGCTATTGTGTGCGGGGACCTGTGGCCTGTGCTTTGCAAACAGGCCCACACAGCAGGCACTATCTCCTAACCACGCAGAATTAAAACAGGGAAAAGGACAAATGCACTCATCCGATTTCTCAGGCTGAAAACAAAGGAGGAATGCAGAATTTTAGTGCTACCTTAAACTGGATCCCTGGAAAATGGAGCTTCAAGCAGTCCGAAATCACGTTGTGCCGATTTGTTTCCTGACCGAGCCAAATCTTCACTGAATACCCATCACCAAACCTGGAAGTCAGATGAAATTGAAACACGGTCACAGCTGTCCGGACCTAAGAGGGGAAATTCCGAGTCCATGTCCCGTAGGGATACGGTAAAGGAAAGTAAGTATTCCAAATCGATGGGAGAGTCAGGACTTTCAAAAATGCAATACTCAGACGTCAGAACTCAGTTACGCAGTTTTCTGTAACCCACCGACACAGACACAGATTTATCTTTAAACACAAAATCAGCAGATCCTGGCTTTAATCTCTGTCAGTAAAAGACGGAAGCTGAATGCAAACCGAAAGCAAATGCGCTGAGTTCAAGAAGCGGGACCCGGGCCAGGACCGACCCTGAGAAGCACGGCGGCTCCCAGGTCCCTGATGATTACGTGTGGCAGCGGAGAGGGGACGGGGGTGCAGAAGTAAAGAGCATCATATAAAGCAGTTCTCCCGCCTGTACCCAGACCTAGCAGGTGCAGGGACAACGGGGGAAGCTGGTCTGAGGGGTGCGGTCCCCCCCATTGTGGAGCTGTGGACAAATGACCATGTGTGAGGTGACAGTCACACTGCAGAGCAATCTCAGGGCCACCTGCAAGAATTTAAGAGGCTTCCAAAAACCGTTATTCTACTGCCTGTCCTAGGTGCTGAGCTTGGTGCCGAGCACATAATAGCATCTCAATAAAGACCCGTGAGAATAAAAACAAAGACATGAACACATCATGATGACAGAAGTTTGTGTCAGTTTTGCTCATTAACACATCTATCCCAGGTACCCAGAACTAATAACTATGAGTAGAATGATCCAATGAATGAAAAGAACGGATCCCATTCCCAGACGTTTACGAGCACCTTCATTTACTTCAGCATTCCACACATGGACAGGGGAATCCATCCGGTGCAGAAGGAGGCCCAAGATAACCTCACTTTGCTCACTGGCTCAAAGCACCCCGAGATCCTAGTCTGAGTTCTGATTTTCTGCTCCTGCGCCGATTTCAAATTTCCTCCAGATATGAGTGTGGCCCCAACCTCTCCCATCATTCAGGGCTGATGGTCCCAAATCCATTCGTGGCTGAGAGGTTGTTGATGAGGTTGATAAAATATGGATGGAAACAGGCAGAGAAGCCTCCTGGGGCTTCTCCTGAGCTGCATGGAGGAATTTCTGAAGTTGTGTGTCTTGGCCACTCCTCTGCTCAGCAGCAGGGCTTCCACGCTGAGCTGCCCACCAACCCGGCCCATCCAACCCCAATGTCACCACGGCCTCCTACGTCGGGGTGTGTTTCCACGTCTCAGGTGGGTAGGCCCTGAGGTCTGGACAGCTGCAGGCACGTGGGTCTGCAGAGCCGTGGGTTCCATCTGCATGTGAAGCTGTATCCTGGGGGCACAGGAGAGCACGGAGCATGTTTCTGGTCTGATGGTCATTACGTCTGACAGCGTGTGCTGCCGGCACTGGGCCTGGCTGGCTGGCCGGCCGGGTTGGAAGGCATGCCCTCCCTCCACATACCAGATGTGGGACTCGGGAGTCACTAGTGTCTGATAAGGGTGCTAGGCGATGGAATGATTTCCTTGGAATATCCCCAGGGCCACGTCTGGCACTAAGCAAGGCGGTAAACAGATACCCAGTCCCGTTTGTTTTCTGCACAGGCTACGATCCAAATGGAAGAACCCTTTGCTTTGGCTTGAAGCATCTCACGTTTCTTCAGGAAACAGAGATGAAAGCAGCTGAGCCAACGACAACAGGGATCAGAGCACACACAACATGAAGCCTGAAGGTGGGAGGCACAGCGTGCACGGACGACCTCACTTTCTACGCATGGGAGGGTCCCCACGCACCATTGCGCAGGGTGCAGTCCCATGGGCATACTTCGCTTATGCATTTTAAAAAATTCATGCTAAATCCCAATCACTATCTAATGAAGTCTCACTATGAGCATATACATACTAATTTTTTTTTTAAATTTTATTTTTCATAAACATATAATATCTTTTTATCCCCAGGGGTACAGGTCTGTGAATCGCCAGGTTTACACACTTCACAGCACTCACCATAAAGTCTTTCAAAGTGAAGTTTCATTGGCACTAAGCGACTTCAGGTTTTGTGCTAGACAACTTGAATTATGAAGCTCTTTAAGGGAAGGAGAGCACCCGCAGGAAAACGTTCCTGGGAGAGGCTGGCACGTGTGTCGGGATGTCTCTGGAGTAGTCAACGAGACCCCTGGACAGAGTTACAAAACCAGATCATCTTCGGTTACTGGGAGAATCTCAGCAGGTCGGTGAATTCGTTCATGATGCAGGAATCTAATTCACGGCAGCTTTCCTTTCTCCTTTCTGCCTGTCACCTGCACACTCAAGCCGGGATCTAAGTTCTGTCAGGGATTTCTTTGATTCGTGCACTTTCCAGTCTAAAAGCTTTCGAAGCAGCCAAAGGTCCTTCATCTATACGTGCGGTCATCAGTCTGACGCGGCTCACCACCGTGTCCCCGCCACGCGCCCAGCCGGCGATCACGGAAAGAGAAATGAACGGCGTTATCTGCCCGCGGAAGTGCCTGTAACATTCATTTGGCCGTCGTCCGGGATAGAGTTTGGTCCACACTGAACATCATCTGTGTAACTAGTGCTAAAGCAAGGACAAGCAGTGTGCCAGCGGGAACACACATGCACGTGCGTTTTAAGAGCCAAACATCAGCATGCAGGGAGCGAGCGTGGAGGGCAGGGGGCAGACGGCTGCTGTGTGAGCACCCGACTGAGCCAGACACTTCCGCGTCACCTCATCAGGGTCTGAGAGGTGATCCTGTCCACAGAAGTCACGAGCATGGGGCACACGGTTCCGTCGTGAAGCACTGAGCACCGATGCCCTATTCTCGCCCCAAGGACCTCGAGGCTGCTAGGTCGGTCCCTCTTTTACAAAAGTGACATGAGATAGCCTGGAGGTTGGGTGACATGCTCAAGAGACACAGCGGCCAGGGAACAGAGGACGGCACAGCCCAACCCTGGTCAGCGGAGTGCCAACACGGCACAGGGCGGGGTCCTGTGTCACGGTCCACGCCCCCGCCTTCTTCCAACCTCCACCTTCTCGCCAGGTACCCTGTGTCCACGGAACATGACAGATGGCACTGCCTCTTCATAAAAGGTGGAACTGGGAGACCCAAAGAGTCTGGAGGTTGGTCACTGTCACGCCGCTCATTCTGGCAGAGGTGCGACACAGCAGGCTGCCTTACTCCAAAACCATGTCCCTTCGTCGCGGCTGCATTTCTTACTTCAGCCCCAGTCAAGTTTGGTCCAGAAAACATTCTCATCCCTGCCCGCACCGATCAGAATGGTTGCAGGCAGGGTGGGTCGAAGTGATCTCAGCAGCTGGTGCCTGAGCTTCTCCTGGGGGACAAATGGTCCTGGCAAAGACCCTCCACAGCCTTCTGAGTTTACAAGCAGGATCTCAGTGGGTCGGAGACACAGCCTCACAGTAAAGAGAAGCTTGGCCCGCACTGACATACCTCCGTCCATGAAGCTTCCCTCTATGGCCAGAGTGTCACTTTCCAAACTGACTCTGCCGGGCGAAGACCCCACTGAGCTCCTAGGGGATCGGGATGCCCTTCCCTTGTGCACGCAGGGGTCCAGAGCAGCCCTCTCGCCCACTGGATGTCACAGCAGAGCCCCCATTTGATGAACCACCGGTGCATTATGTCCCTTGTTAGAATCTGATGTCCTAACAACAGGATTGCTCTCTTCTCCCAATAGCAAAAATGTACTTACATTTCTATCGCTTTTTCCTTTCTTCTTGGAATAACGAGAGGGACCATTGGAGGCGTGCGGCAACAGCCACATTGGCAGGAGGGGGAGACAAGTGGCCTCATCTCTGACACGAAAGCATTTTACCCGACAAACAAGAACCACGCGACGTTTTGTTTTCGGGGGGCGGGGGTGGGTAGTGTGCAGTGAGGTCACAGCTGTAAGACTGGCTCTCTCGTTCGGTCTCCCGTGTGTTTTCATGATCTCTGAACTCCTTCCTTCATTTCAGAAAGACTCCAGAATCTAGGTAGATAAGCCATACCTTTTGTCAAGCTGACAATGGTATGAGAGATTGTCTACATTTCTCCATCCTGACAAATAGGCATTTCTTCCTTATTTCCCTTTTCATTTCTAAAGAGAAAGTTGGACTGTAAATGGAGCCATTATCCACCAAGCTGAAATCCCCACACCATGGTTTCCATGTTGAGTAATGGAAGACAATGTCTGCTTGAGGCAGAAGGATCTGGAAAATGTCTTCATTGTTGAAATGAGTTATTTGTGTGATTCTGATCAACAGAGTTACAGAAGTCCTCCAACAGGTAATAAAAGCAAGCGTCTCTAAGACAGCCACCAACATTATTTCAGTGAGCAGGGTGGGTCAGTTTCCAATTAGTATTTTCTTTCTGTGGTTCTGAAAGCCACATAAGCAATCTGCAAACAAGCAGGGAACAGACCGAAAGGAGCTCATGTGGTCTTATCGCTCTGCAGGGCTCCAAGCACAGCCCCATTAAATCTCCATAAGAGAACAAAGATCCTAAAATGAAAATCTTATTGGGGCGCCTGGCGGACTCAGTCATCAAGTGTCTGCCTTTGGCACAGCTCATGGTCCCAGGGTCCTAGGATCAAGTCCTGAATCAGGCTCCTTACTCAGTGGGGAGTCTGCTTCTCCCTCTCCCTCTGCTGTTCCCCTTCCTTGTGCTTTCTCTCTCTCAAGCAAATTGATAAAATCCTCAAAAAAAAAAAAAAAAGAAAGAAAGAAAATCTTACAAAGTGGCACATTGTCCTAAGGGAAATAAATCCAATGCTGATTATCAAAGAGAATGGAATTTCTGTGGGTCGGGAGTCCGTCCATCTGGGGTGACATAAATACTGGAAGGGTAAGGGAAGTTTCTAGCAGCTAAACCGACATCCTGCCACATCCGATGTCGTACTGTGGCCACCACTGGAGCTCTCGCTGCTGTAAGAGGCCACCCAGCTGGTGTCACAGCCACAGGCACCTGGAAAGGCAGCGGGGACAGATGC